ATATATATTTAGACCATGCTCAGATGATCTGTTATGACTATAGATTAGGATGTGTTAGTTTGGAATTACTATTTCTATATTTCATAGTTCTGTTTTATGACTTTATAAGTTTGTTACTGCTTAATACATTGTTTTCTTGTCTTACAGATTGTATGAGAAAAGTATTCTCCTAATTGTTAGAGATTACTCTTGCTAATCTGATGTTGAAACTCAGAATACTAATTTTTAGTTACGGTATGGTGACATTATACGTGTTTAAAGGCTGAATATTTGACATTTTACACATAAATGTAGCAGAAATCCAGTATCTCCTTTAAAAAACCTCTATGAATCATGACTGTCTACAATGAGTGTGACACCCGAGTCCCGCTGTCTGTGATGATGTCAGAGCTGTATCTACAGCGTGTTTACATGGACGGGACGTACATACTGTACTCACTGATTATTTGAATGTCACTTAAGCTTTTTGAGATCACGGTCATTTTGTGTAAATTTACATGCAGTGTGAAGCTACGAGCTAACTAGCTAAAGAGCGCTAGAATTTGCATGCTAACACAACAATGCAGCGCGAGTTGATTTGTTTTCATGCAGGTGCTCAAGAGCGACATCTACAGGATCAAAAAGTTGTACATTCTTCCTTTAAGTTCTTATACTTCATTTTATTAGGGTAAAATCAAGTAACTCAGCTTGTGCAAGAAAGCATCGGAGCTCGTCTCCCTTATGGAGCCCACCCCCTTCCTGTTGTCCGAGACAGAGGTGGAGAGAATCGACTTCTCTCCTCAGTCTTGTCTTCGTCTCTCGTCGCATGAAGTCGTTTTTTGGTTCCCAAGAGAAAGACTTGCTTGTGAGGGTGTGGTCGCTCTTCTCTGAGCCACTGCCTTTGTGTCTTTCTTCAGCACGAAGTCTGGCAGATTCGGAAGAATTCGTCAGTACCTTTGAAAGCTTATCCAGTCGTGGAGGAGTCCGAAGCGAACACAATCCAAAGTAAGGTTGTGTTGGGGTTGTATCAAGTCAACTTTGGTTATATTCTTTAATAATTATATTTAATTATTAATAATATAAATAAAATATCATTAAACTATGTTTAATCTCGTTTTGGGGCACCACCGTGTACTCAGGGAAATATAACCAAAATATCACTCAAAAGGGTCGTGTCCAACATCAAAAGCAGAGTCCAGATCTCTTATACAAACTCGTTAATCACATTTCGTTAAATCAATTCCAACCTCTCGTTTTAATTTGTTACTTTCACCTTATAACGTCACCATACCAATGTCATATACCTTATAGTTTCATTAATATACTCATCCATATATATTCATTGATATGTAGCTCATTAATCTGCATTATTGTTCAATTACTTCATTAAAGTTACACATAAACCTTCAGAGCTAGTCCGTGTGTTCTGTGATTTAAACTGTCCTGAAGAGCTCGCCGTTCTGACATATGATTGATTGATTAATTCATTATTACAACTACGGCTGATTTCCTCCTCATCACCAGAGGTGGTTCCCCATTTTTATATTCCGAGGTAAAAATGTATTAATATTTTAATACATTAATATGCTACATATGATGGGACAAGACAGAAGAGTTAAGAAGGGACGCAATGGGACAAGAAGAGATGAGATTAGACAGAAGAGTTGAGTATTGACGAGACGGGATGTGAACAGGCAGAGATGAGACGGGACGAGAAGAGAAGAGCCCAAAAGGCTAGAAGAGATGAGAAGATACAGGATAAGATGAAAGGGGACATCACAGGACATGACGGAACATGAAGGGGATACGCGGGACATAACGGGATGAGACAGGAAGAGACGGGGTGAGATTAGACAGAAGAGAATAGGTAACGAGACGGGACGAGAATGTTCTGTTATGTTGATTATTAGATGAAGACGGTTCAACTTTTTTTTTTTTTTTTAAATTTATTAATCAGTTGTTCAAATTCTCCTTAAATGTCTTAGCCTTAAATGTCCCTAGCTCTTGCATGCGCTAACACACACTCAAAGAGCGTCACCGATGACGGAGTTTATACTGTGAGTTTACTTACTGAGCTGAGGTCTACTTCCGGAGCAATGGCGCTCGTGCAGGGGGGCGTGGCTTTAGAGAGAGCACAGAGGGGAGGGGGCAGGTGCAGATGGAGCACTGAGTGAATGCTACTTTCAAAATCAAGCTAGTTTTCAAAAATCACCAACCCTGCCTTTAATGCCTGAATGAAATGTATCTTTACTTTTTCACACATCATAAAAAGACACCAACAAATGAGACTGGAAGCATTTCTTACAACTTTCAAACTTTTTATTTCTCAGTTTTCCATGTATGAAGTTTCAGTGATGCAGCAGAGATGAAAACAGGAGTAAAAATCTAAGATCGAGTCCAACGAAAAACAAAACCGTCCCTTTGAAACCAACACAAGACATTTCAGCACCGCCTGAAACTAAACCAGCAGGAAGCTCCCACAGAGAAAAAGAAGAGTAAATATTACAGAGCGAGTGGCGGGTTACAGTGTTTCAGTGGAGTAATGATTCAGGTTTCAAATATTCATTGGCAACATCCACGTGCTTGAAATGTTCATGTTTTTATTTATCATCATTATTAACATGTAAACAACACGGTCTCACCCGATTTCATGAAATGAGCCAAAACTTTTGAAATGCAAAAAATTAAAGAGTAAATATGTTCAGATTACTAATCGTCACCATGAAACACATTTTCTAGAACATTATATCTGATAAGAACACGACCCTGACACCATTGCACGTCTTTAAAATATGAAACTAGCACAGCTAAAGAAACAACTCTCGTTAAGGGATATTCAAAGAAGCTATTTCATGAGTTCTAACTATTAAACATGCATATTTTATAGTATAAAAAGTCAAATATTCTACCTCACACAACATGATCTTGTCAGTGCAAGTGCTCACCATACTAATACTATCACATACTCTTGCATGCACAGGATAGATTTGTTTGCATCTGCAAGACATTTCGCTCATTTCATTAAACGTTGAGACCAGCCTGGTAAACTCGAGCTTTGAGAGAAACAAAAAGAGCTTTCATAAAAAGCTGATCTACATGCAAACAGCGACAGGCAGAAGAAGAAGAAAGAAATCAAAGAGATCAGATCACACACGTCATGCAAACACATCACAAGTCGTCCGTTTCAGGTAGAAAAGTCTTTTGCAGCACGTCAGTAAAGAAGCTGCTCGGACACGACGCACGGCCGTTTTGGTTTTCCCTCCTCCTCCGCAGCTTTGCAAAAAAATGTAAGCTCGTTCTCTCTTTCCCAACATTTCGTTACGTATCTTACAGGAGTTAAAAACACATGCAGCCTATCAAAAACTAAGAACGGAAACGAGTCTTTCCTGCCGAGAAACGAGTCGTGGCATGTTATTCAACGATCGGGGGGCTTTGGGGGGACTTCAGACCAAAAGGGAGGACAAGTTTTCTAAGTCCGCTTCAAACAGCTGAGCTACTCGAGGCACACCAGGTCCCAGTCTGATGACCTGTTAGCTAGGATCAGGACCAGGTCCCAGTCTGATGACCTGTTAGCTAGGATCAGTACCAGGTCCCAGTCTGATGACCTGTTAGCTAGGATCAGTACCAGGTCCAGTCTGATGACCTGTTAGCTAGGATCAGGACCAGGTCCAGTCTGATGACCTGTTAGCTAGGATCAGTACCAGGTCCAGTCTGATGACCTGTTAGCTAGGATCAGTACCAGGTCTCAGTCTGATGACCTGTTAGCTAGGATCAGTACCAGGTCTCAGTCTGATGACCTGTTAGCTAGGATCAGTACCAGGTCTCAGTCTGATGACCTGTTAGCTAGGATCAGTACCAGGTCTCAGTCTGATGACCTGTTAGCTAGGATCAGTACCAGGTCTCAGTCTGATGACCTGTTAGCTAGGATCAGGACCAGGTCTCAGTCTGATGACCTGTTAGCTAGGATCAGTACCAGGTCCCAGTCTGATGACCTGTTAGCTAGGATCAGTACCAGGTCTCAGTCTGATGACCTGTTAGCTAGGATCAGTACCAGGTCCTTCAATCATCTTTTTGGGGGTTTTAGACTCCTGGAGTCACTTTGGGCTCTCACCAATATATATGTATTTTTTTTACAGTTGGACTCAAATATAACGAGCGCAGTAGCGATGAAAGAGATGAAGAAGTTCATCTACCGTTAATGAAAAGGAAAGCAGGTGGCGTGTACTTAAACGGGCTTCTCTGCAGTGACTCGGCGTGTTTAAAACCCGCCTTCACTTTTGGTCTGAACGAACCGTTTCAGTTTCTAATGTGTCATCAAGCGCTTTGTGACCTCTAAATAATGTTTACATCAACGTCCGAGTGTTCAATACAAATCGGACTCGGAGCTTAATGACACAGAAGTGCTGACGACAGGGGAAATGATCTTTCACTTCCTGCGTGTTTGTACGTCTGTCGTTTAAAAAAACATGCTGTGCACCGTCTAATCCTGACCAAGATTCTCCAAACGTGACGTGAAAAACAAAGCTGATCTTCAAGTGTAAATAATGCAACACTCCAGTAAGATAAATGCATTCAATAATACGGTTACATCTCTAAAAGAAAGACACAGATTTCACCTGTAAGTCAACTGCATGTCAATAAATGTTGTGTTGGCACTTCATGCTCTGCTCATGAAATCAAGTAACGTCACGGCGAAAACACACTCGTCCACTAAAGGTTACTTTAAGATAGACTTCCTCTGATTCTCCAAACGAAAACTATGACACCAAAATAAATATAAAAAACCCACATACCTTGAAAAAACCAGTAAAACATACAGAACACACACGCACGCACACACACACACTCAAGGACGCGCACAGACACACACACACTCCAGCTTTCCTCCACCAAACTGAGACCGTCGCTCTGCGTTAAAAAGCCGTCCGTCCGCTGTTTAAGTGCGACGTCGAGTCACTGAGAGTTCCTGTGCTGTAGGTAATACTTGGTGGGAGTTTGGCTTCAGAGGGGGAGGGGGGGGGGGGTGGGAAGGGGGTGGGGGAGGGGGGGATTTTTCACAGAGAAATACTTCTGTTGAAAACAAACAGAGTGTTAAGCTGGACGACGTCTTCAAGCAGAACTTCAGTAAACGCAGCGAGAGCAGGAGGTTGTCACACGTCCACCACCATCTTTTTGTGAATGTCTAATCCACCCACCACCTGCAGGAAGAGACATCACACATCAGGTTCTCTTCACCGCTTAAAAACACAGCAGCCTCCAGACACTCTGCACCGTTTCCCGGAGCCGAGTGCACCGACTGGGAGTACACCGTTGTGTAACCTTACAAGCTGAAACTAACGACCAGCGTTAAGTTACACCCTGTGCACCTGTTTGTGTTACACATGGGTGGCACTTTTACGCCTCTGATGGAGCAGTCGTAAGTTAGAAAATCAGACTAGTATTATTTCTCACTTTTTTAGACTCAGCTGGTACACTCGGCTCCTGATCATCTGAGCTTTGACTGGAACTAAACATTGCAGACTTTGACCACAGAGGGCGCCAAAATTGACACAAAGCAAAGATCCTAACAGCTGCTTTAAATGAAACATTTTACTGGGATAGAAGTCTTTACGCTGTACTCACCGCACAGAACTCCTCGAAGGATATCCTGCCGTCTCCGTCTTTGTCTGCGTTGATGATGGTTTTGTCGACGATCTGTTGGAGCTGGGTGTCCTTCAGGTTGTTGCCCACCATCATCTTGAGGACCTGGAAGAGCTCCCCGTTGGAGATGTAGCCGTCTTTGTCCATGTCGTAGATCCTGAAGGCAACTGGAGGTCGCGTGACCGAGACGACACAGAGAGAAAAATGTCAGCCTTTACTCGCTACGTTTACAATCAAAGACATGTGAAAGAAGCAGATGTTTATGTGAAACTTACAGCGCAACTTCTGCTCCTTATCACCTTTGACGCTGAACTGGGAGACGCCTTCAATAAACTCTGCAAAAAGGACAATAGCAACAAAAATTATGGGTTTGAAAAGCAAGTCAGAAAATACAAAGACAAATCATTCATGTGTTCAGATGGCGTTTTGTCGGGCAGAAGAGCATTGGCTGCGTGTCGGGAGCGTTTGGATCGAGCGCTTGTGGGCTGAGAATGAGCGTCTATAGCAGACCTGTTCCCACCAGGCGGTCTGGTTCGGTTCAGTTTGGTTCGTATTTATTGGTGTGTCAAAAGTTGGGAATGGTACCAAAATAACCGATCTGTACCGTCCTACTTTCTTGCTACCCTTCTGTCAGGAGGCCAAGCGTACCTATCCGACCCTAAAGGGTGGAGCTAGACACCCTGCAGTCCGTTGATTGGTTGAAAGAATCGCCACTTCCTGTGTGACAGCGGTAATAAAGGACAAACCATAGACTGTAAATTTGAATGTTTGAAGCCTGAGTGACGTCCCCATTCGGTTCCTGCAGGGGGCTTTAGAGTCCTATCGATGGCAGTCTCTGAGCTGGAAATGCACCATGTTTAAATACCCGACGGACGACCTCGGAGGTCATGACCTCTGCTGCTCGTCCTCGTCCGTTTACTGTGTCCTGTTCTAACTTTTGCGGTCGTGGTTTTTTAGCCGTTGTTTGGTTTCTTATGCTGAGTTCTTCTGCACTTTGTAAACCTTTCACAGTGCTTTACAAATAACGTTTTTATTTTCTAAATAGTATGAATATAAAAAATAATCGACTGCTACCCCTCCCCCGCTGTTTTTGACGCGACAGGAGATGTTTAGAATGAAATCATACAGCGTTTCACTTCCTGGTTTGAGCACGGTCCCGTTCACATCTCCCGCTGACTGTACTCGAGTACACAGGAATTGTGCCAGAGACCACCTCTTCAAGTGGACTTGGGCACGGTACCCGAGTACAGTACCTTTGTGTTCACACTGATCAAATGAACCGGTCAAGCGTACTCGGATCCAGGCCCGGGTCCTTAGTTTGAAACCCCCCTTAGAACGGACGTTGTTGTTTGTATCAGAAAACAAACATCAAGGTATGAAGCGAGGAAGACAAGAGATGTTTTTCTAACCTAGTAACTAAGGGGGGCGGGGCTTGACAAAGGGTCTCTAGCAGCAGAGAACATGTTTCTAAGTGATTTCTCTTCTGGGCAGTGTGGCCCGGGTGTTAACAAAGTTCATGAGCACATCCCAATGTCGATGCTGAAACACTAAAGGTTGCAGCCCTGATAGGAAATCTACTTAAGACAGAACAAAATTCAAACAACATCTTCTATCCTGCAGGTGGTGCTTCGGGTTAAAGCTTCAAAAGTTTATACCACAGGGTTTAAAAGAGTGAGGGGGGTGGGGGGTCTGTTTCATGTTGTATTTACCTTTGAAGTCCACTTCTCCGTTCCCGTCTGTGTCAAATATGTCGATGACTCGCTGCACGAGGGGATTCTGCTGGAGTTCCGGTAAGGACATAAACTCCTCCACGCTCAGGGACCCGGAGTTATCCAAGTCCAGTTTCTTAAATCTCTTTCCTAGCCTCTTGATCTCATCAGCATCAACTGAAAGAAAACAAAAAGAGAAAGAGACGGCGTTATTAAGAGGAAAAAGACCTGAAGTGACGGGCGAAGGGTGAAGACGCATGTTTGTAAAAGCAGCTGCTGACTGCCGTCCACCCCGTATCCTGTCTGGAGAATATGACCTCTTATAACGCCTCTAAAACTCACCTGGTTTCTTCTCTGTACTCGCCATGGTTTGTTCAGAGCTGCTGCTGCCGTGTGCTGCCTGCTGGACCTCCAGGTGCCGCGCTCTAAGCCCTAACAGCGGGTCATGTGACAACTCTTTCAACACTAATCACTCTGCTGAGCACCATGAATCAGCGACACGCGGTGCAGGTGGGAGCCGTGGGGCACCGGTAGCCAAGTGGTTAACCCTTTAAACTTCACTGAGTTCTGCTGTACGTATGATAGTGTTGATAAAAAGTCAAAGAAATCTGTAAATATGTGATTTTGAAACAAAAACTTCTAAATAAACTTGTTGTTGAAGACGAGGTCTGAGTAAGTACTGATTGACACGTATGACCCAGAACGTCCACCAGATACGTGTGCTTTGTGTGTCCACTCCCTCATCCGTCAACACCCACAGGCTGAGTTCTCAGAGCGCAGAACGTCCAGTGTAAACACAGTGCAAAAATAAATTAGCTTTGGTACTAAAATACATGAAATAATTAATTATTTAATTATTAATAATAATATGTTTTGTGAAAACAAACTCAGTATAAGTCATCACTGATAACTGTGCCGTTATTTTCCGTTATTATTGATCCTCAGAAGGAGTTACGCTGCACGTTTAAGTTGTGTGACAGTGATGACGTTGGCGGCCAGAGAGTGAGCTGAGACGTGTCCGAGATGTTTTTTATCGTGCTGAATGACTGCGCTATATAGTCCACTACATATAACTTCCTGTTTAGTGAGAAGGGAGGAGGGAATGAGTGTATGATTTCAGACACAACCTAACAGTCAGTTTCCTGTTTCTTCTTCAAGTTTTCAAAACTAGGAAGAAAATAAAGCTTTAGTTCTCTGTTTAGTAAGTTGATCCTTATTCTTTCAAACATAAAATGAACACCTGGGTTTATAAATACAGAAAATAATTTAATTCTGAACATTTCCAGAAACCACACAGGCCTCATGGTGTCAGACCACTCCTACAGGACTCTCCTGCTACACTGCTGCAGAAACAACAGGCCTCCACGTAGACCTCTGACTGCTGCTATGACACACAACGACCACTAGATGGAGCCCAAGACAAAGGAACAAAGAGAGAAGTTGCTGCACTGTTGCCAAACAAAGCACCAAACTCTGCTGTTGTTGAGGGGGATTCTTCGCAGACCACATCAGTGTCTAAAAGCAGGCGTTTCACAATAATCTTGTGTAACAGAGGGGAGGAAATGAGAGCGAACAAACAGAGAGCTGCAGTTAGAGGCGGAGCAATGCATGACAGAGGACAGCTTCAGCGTCACTCTGAAGAACTGAGACTGAACGTCAGGGTGTCAGCCACGCAACAAGTCTGCTTAACTTGAAAAGCTAACAAACCGAGGTTGTCGGATCTTTCTCAACAACACGGCAGATTCTCTGCAAACACTGGTGAGCAAAGCTGATAATGTTTACAATCTGAACAACTAGGATTTACTTAAAAACTCCAGCTCTTCAAATGCAGGGAGTTCAGCTCTTTGTATGAGAAACTAACTAAAGTACATTTACAGGTGTTTGTCTTGTAGCATAAACAAACTTTAACTGCTTTAAACATTCTCAGTGTGTCCGTTTTCAGGACTTTAGCAACTTGTGGCAGAGTCTGTGTGTTTTGGAGTCTGATTTCTCTCCTGCATTCCTGGTAATATAACTCCAAACTGATAGTTGCTGCAGCCACATTACATTCTGTTTCCTTTTGAATGTTTCAAAGTAAAAGCTGACAACCGAGAACCAGCATTAGGCTTAATGTGAAGTATCAACAAGAATTGCAATGTGTTTGTCACTCGCTTTGTTGTCAGCGCTATTTTTAGATGAAATACTGGTCAATTGAGGACTGTTACAAGTCAGGTCATTACATGCTCACAATTATAAATCTATATTAGAACATGATCTGTATTTTTATTTATATTTGTTGGAATGGAAACAGTAATTTTATATCCTATCTAAAATGATCTGCACGGATCCATCGCTAAGGGGGGACGCCCTTAGTCAGTCATAGAATGGCTACCAGCAGGAAAAACAGTGATGTTTGGATGTATTTCAAAACAGCAAAGTCAATGAATACATGTGCTAGGTCAAGCTTGGTTACTTAAAGTTGTGTTATTATTATTAAACAACCGCTGATAGTAGGATGATAAACCATATTTCAATAAAAAAAGGGTAAAACTGGGGAGACAATGACGAGGAATGTCTCATGACCTTATTTGATAACAATGTTTTAAAGGCTGTTGCGATTCCCACAGAAGGAAACAATAAGAAAACCTATCATGAAAATTGTGTCAGCTGACCTGCATAAAAATGTAGACTCTGTAAACACATGACCGGATGTTGATATGACAAGTTTTCTGGCTTCTGTTTGTAGTTTTGTAGTCCAAGTAGAATGGACCAATCGTGTATTGACAGGCAGTGAGGTATGCAAGGAAAACACCTTGTCCAAAGAGCAAAAGCAGACAGAACTAAACCTGCAGTAATGACATCCCAGCTATCTCTGAAACAGGGATATCTGCAGCTAGAAATTGACAAAGTTAAGACCTGTAATTGCAAGTAAATGACAAGAAACGTTGACATAATCCAGAGTGAAGCCTCTGTGTAACTTACTATTTACAGTTACAATGAGACTTGCATGAAACAGATCAATGGGCGCTTCTCGAGTTGCTAAATGGACGGCAAACAATGCAGCGCATGGACAATGAAGTCACACTTAGCACTGGCTGCACTAGAATGCCTGATTAGTTGGCCGTTGTTCGCATATCGTTGTCAAGACGATAGCTGATGGGTTCTGATATAGAAAGCAGCAGAGGGCTTCTGCAAGCTGATGGCGTTTGTTGAGCCAGATAACGAGCTTTATAACAGCAAACAACGTTGTTCTTGGAGAAGACGATTCATGACCGAGACATCTATTGTTTTAGTCCAACTTAAAGAGGACTTTTGAAATGCATGTTTAAGATGTTAGCTCGACTGAAATCGTACAGAGTCGAATTTCTGGAAGCCGGACTAACAAACCTATATAAAGTAGAAGGTTATGGATTTACTCTCGCATGTATACACCTCAATTGGACACAAACTGGCCTAGGCATGCTCCACTGTTCCTGCACTGGGCTTTGACCCAGAGGTCGTAGAATAGCAGTTGCGTTGTTGTCTGCCTTTGGATTCATCATAAGCTAGAGGAATAGCGTGCATCAGATTTGTACCATAGGCAAGGTATAGTTGCCATGCCTCTTGCTTCAACAAATGATTAAAGTTGTATTTTGAATGAAATGTTTAACTTTTCCTTTTTCATCCTACAGGTGTAGATATGGCTGCTGTAAACTCTCTGCTATCTGAGGATCAGTTTCTCTGCTCCATCTGTCTGGATGTGTTCAATGATCCTGTCACCATACCATGTGGACACAACTTCTGCAAAAACTGCATCACTGAACACTGGAACACCAGCGACCAGTACAGGTGTCCAATGTGTAAGAAGGTTTTCAACACAAGACCTGAGCTGCACGTCAACACTTTGCTCTCTGAGATGGTTGGATACATCAGACAGTCAGCTCAACTAAAAGCCAGCAGCTCAGAGCTACAAGAGTCCAAACCAGGAGAAGTTCTATGTGAAGCCTGCACTGGCACCAAACTGAAGGCCCTGAAGTCCTGCTTAGACTGTCTGGTCTCCTACTGTGAGACTCACCTGGAGCCTCATCTGACAGCTTCACGTCTGAAAAGACACCAGCTGATCGACCCTGTGGAGAACCTGGAGGACAGGATGTGTACGAAGCACGATAAACCTCTGGAGCTGTTCTGTAAGACCGATCAGACCTGTGTCTGCATGCTCTGCTCTGTTTTAGACCACAAGACACACGAGTTTGTTCCTCTGAAAGAAGAATATGAAGAAAAGAAGGCAGAGCTGGAGGAGACAGAGGCTGAAATTCAGCAGATGATCCAGAAAAGACAACTGAAGATTCAAGAGATCAAACACTCAGTGGAGCTCAGTAAGGACGATGCAGACAGAGAGATGGCAGAAGGTGTTCGAGTCTTCACCGCTCTGAAGGAGTCTGTTGAGAGAGGCCAGGCCGAGTTCATCGACACGATCGAAAAGAAGCTGAAAACAACAAGAAACAGGCCGAAGCTTTCATCAAAGAGCTGGAGCAAGAAATCTGTGAGCTGATGAAGAGGAGCACTGATGTGCAGCAGCTCTCACGCTCTGAAGACCACCTCCATGTAATCCAGAGAGTCCAGTGCCTCAACATCAATAACTCACTACCTAACACTCAACAGAAACGGAGGATGGACATTACAGTCTTTCCATCTTCATATGAATTGACTCTTGCGAGAGCTTTAGGTCAGCTGCAGGAGACTCTCAGAGAAGAGATGAAGAAATTGATTCAAGCTGAGCTGAAGAGAGTCCAGCAGTATGCTGTGGATGTAACTCTTGATCCTGATACAGCACATCCTCAAGTCATCCTGTCTGATGATGGGAAACAAGTTCATCATGGTGATGCTAAAAAGAATCTTAAAGAAAAATTGAAAAGATTTTCTGACTGCATTTGTGTTTTAGGAGAGCAGAGTTTCTCTTCAGGCAGATTTTACTTCGAGGTTCAGGTTAAAGGAAAGACTGAGTGGGATTTAGGAGTGGTCAGAGAGTCCATCAACAGGAAGGGAGAAATCACACTGAGTCCTGACGAGGGTTACGGGTCTATATGGTTGAGAAATGGAAATGAATATGAAGCCCTTGATGACCCTCCAGTCCATCTCTCTCTGAAGTGTCGTCCTGAGAAGGTGGGGGTGTTTGTGGATTATGAGGAGGGTCTGGTCTCCTTTTATGACGTGGACTCTGCAGCTCTGATCTACTCCTTTACAGACTGCTCCTTCACTGAGAAACTCTTACCTTACTTCTGTCCCTGTGTTAATGATGGAGGTAAAAACTCTGCACCTCTGATCTCTCTCCTGTCAAAAACACTGACTAGAGGCCTAAATTCCTGTACTGAATTGTGGGTTTCGCGCAAAAATATTTAGTCTTGCAAGTGTAGCATTTATAATACGGGATACTCCCGCACATTGGGCTGCGAGATTTCGGCCAAAATTATATTATTATTATATAATTATACTATTATTTTTCTATTGTTAAATGTAAATCACCTATTGTCAAGGCTGGACTGAGGACAAAGAACCTGCCCTGACATTTTTGGCCCTCACCGGTACCTAACAAAACATGACACCGCAGCAGCATCTCATCTCACCTCATCTAACAGCGTGTCCTAACAGCATGCGAGCATTAGATATTGCGTTGCATTGCGCATGATCACTGTCCACACTGCATCTGTTAAATATAAAATTCTTGCTCTGTGAATTTCAGCTTCCCTTAGCAAACATTATGACATGTGGTGCTTTTATTTTGAAGGTGGACAAACAGAAGAGTGGTGCTTTTATTTTGAAGGTGGAAAAAACAGAAGTGTGGTGCTTTGTATTGACGAGCTCAAATCACAACACAGATGCTCGTCAATGAACGGCTCGCAGTGAGGCGAAAAAAGTTTTTCTCTTTTGTTGACTCGGTTCAAAAGTCAACATTTCAATCAAGGATGTGGATATTATTAATGCACCATTATCTGCACTTTGTAAAACAAGCTAACAAGCTCTGCTGAGTGAGGAGAGAGAGTGTCAGTGCCTGCTAGAGCCTCCTCCTTACTCGTTCTTCGTCCATCAACCGAGCGATAGAGAGGAACATAGAAACGGGACATCGGGGAAAAAACACAGCGCTGCATCGCGGCAGTAAGGGAAATGTTTTTTTTCCCAGGTCAATGAGACATGCAACATTTCATTATTGCATGACTTTGAATTAAATGAAGAAAAGTGATTCATGACGGGACATTGAACTTCTTATTGCCTGCGTAGGGACAAACTGGAACTATGCACCATTGGCTGACGAATCTGAAGGTTGGCCCTGTCCTTGTGCAAGACACTGAACCCCAAATGACTCCCCAGTGGCTTGGTTAATAACACGTCCATTTACCATTTATTATTAAAAACAGTTTTGCAAATTGCTGGTCTGAGAAAAAAGAAGGGTGGGGAGTCATGGCACAGAGCATCTGGAGCTCACATAAATATCCCTGAAGTCCGACAGTTGATTTGGGAAATGCAGCACAGTCAGGTCAGCCAGCCAGACTGAATTCGGCTTACTCGTGTCTCCACAAGTTCAAAGTGGTTAACCCCAACACCTCTCTAAATACACACTGGTGAGGTTTGTTGAGAGCTGCTGGTGGGACTTCTTACTATCCCTAAGTCAAGACACTTTTGTGAACCAACTGGGTCACAAAAATAAGGTCTAATCTTCCTCACAGATTTTGAAAACCAAACATTCGGTATCAGTTTCCCCCCCCCCCTTTCCTGAAAACCTTTTTATTACCACCTCGTTAGGACTCCCACCTACTCAGAAAGAATGACATAATTTTGACACCCGAGCTCAGCTTACTCTGCCATCTTCCTGAAGGGGAGGGTGCTATTGAGTAATTAGGTCCAGAATTTAAAGTCATTATTTTCTTATTAAGCAGCAAGTTTTTCTCTCAGGAGGTGGAAGAGGGGGGGCGAGAGCAAGACAACCAGCTAATTAAAAATGGGATATTACTTTGACTAAAAATAAACAAGGTTTTCCCAGCAGCCCTGACGCTGACCTTTGAAGAGCGATGAGGCATTTTTAGCTAAAGAGTGTCGGGAGTCTGCATCAGAGAGCCTCAGAGGCCCACGGAGAGAAGGTGCAGCATGTGGTGATGTTCGCATCCACCAAGGGCCAATCATCACGCTGCAAACTCAGCGTGAACACGTCTGAATATTCCCCTGATGATCCCTACCCATCAGAGCACGGTAGTATTGTAGTACTCTGGATCGGTCTTGAGAACACTTGGAATGTCTCAGTCTCGACTCGGAATTGAAAGCATCTTTACCTGGTCTTGTCTCAATCTCAGAATTGGCGGACTCTGGATTTGAAATCAAAACTGGTCGAGACCACCTTTGCTTTCTTCTGTCCTCGCCCTGCCTCTGTCTTGGTCCTGGTCTCGTCTCGGTCTTGCCCTGCTTTGGTCTTGTCTTGGTCTCGATCCCTAAATGTCTTGGTCTTGACTCGGTCTAAGAGCTCTCTCTGGTCTCATGTATGGCAGGCGGTCGGGAATGACTTCCAAAAAAACAAACAAATAAATAAATATTTAAGTGTGGAAAATGCTGATGTGGTATTGGTCTCCATCGTGAGTGCATCTCAGAATAATAAAGCACTGAAGACGCAGAGTGGGTTTTCTGGCACAACTTCACCAACTACCAAGGTGCGTGAAGAGGTCAAAAAGCCCCAGCAACACAAAATAGACCGACACGTTTCAGCTATTGGCCTTCATTAGGCCTGATGAAAAAACAAACACTTGAGCGTTGGTTTTTCAAGTCATGTCTTCCCTCAGGACACCCTCTCGTCTGACAGGGATAGTGTCCTGCTGTGAGGTGCATGTGTGAACCACCAGATCAGCAGGATATCTGGAGCAGTCCTCATGAAAATATCTAGATATTTTCCAGGAGTGGTTTAATCTACGCCTAATTTTCCCCCCGATAGATAATTGTTTAATGAAAGTCATGAACTACAAACATGTAAGAAGGACATATATAAACAAGGAAAGCAGCAGTTGTTAATACCTTCAGTCATTAACACTGTGTCTTCGGCTGCAAAGAGAAAAAGTGAGATTGATGGATACTTACAGTGCGAGCACATGTCCAGGGCATAACTGGCTTCATTTCCCTGAAACGAGAGAAAGATTGACATTAAAAACGGTGATCCAGATTTAGAAATGTATTTTTTTTTTTTAAAGGAAAATCAAAGGTTTTGTAGAAGAGAACAGAGCAGAGCTGTGGTCTCTGTGTCTCTCAAATTTATACAAGATGTTTTTTGTTTTTTTTTAAATGTGATGAGACGCCTGAGTCTGTCAGGATATTAAAATAACTCTTGAAAGAAACCCTGTTCCCATTAGAAGTCTGTTTAGATAAATGTGATAACAGAAGATGAAGTGAACTTGTCCGTGTCTCATTCTTGGCTAATCGTTGGCGTTTCTTCATTATGCATGAGCGACAGAATGATCTGGACTCTGAAAACGAGGTCAACGTGCCGCCTTGAATTGCCTCGTCCCATCTCTGGAGGACTTACAGAAATTGAACCGGGCTGCTCGAACGAGGCCGCAGCTTTCCTCCTCGGCTGGTAACGAGGGCCACATTAACTCTTGAGAGCCATTAACGAGTAATATATGACATTCAATATGCCTTACAGAATGTAAAACACATAAAGTCGATGTCTTTCTAACACCGCTGAGTTCATGATTCCTCTGACTGACTAAAAACTACCTGCTGAAACTAACTTCAGAAAGAGCTTGCTTTTTTTAATGTTGTAAGTCATGCTTGTTTGTACCATTTTTGTACAGGGGAGGCTCAAAGAGAACAACGAAGGTAAAATAAAATTTGTATTCATTAAATGCACAGTTTTTAAATTCCACCACCAGGGGGCTCTCAAGCAAAACAATAACAAAAGATGACATAGAGGCGTGCGGAGAATCTCTCTACCAACTCCCAGCCTACACCACCAATGACAACAAACCCAGAGTTGACAGTAGTCATGACGACCGGGTGAAACCGACTTGAGGAAGCGAATATGTTTACTGACGAGCTAATGTATCCGAGTATAATTTACATGACGTTTTTATCACATACTGCAACAATACGGCAGCTTTCAGCAGCAGCTCACGCTACCTTATGCAACGGCCTTTGACGTAACATTTGGTGGTCACTTGGCAATGATAAACATTTTGTGCCTGTCATGGTGGTCCGGTTCTAACTCTAAAATCAATGATTTCTCTCAGGTTTCGATAACTGTTGGAAATATCTGAGTTTATGTAAGGTAATGCGGCTCCTTTCCTGCATGTCAGTCCCCTCTAACTCTCCCTGGTTTCCTATTCTATCCACTGTCCTGGCAAATAAAGGCAAGAAATTATTTAGAAAAACCAACTTCTACAGTGTTTTTGAACATATATTTTGGTAACCTGAGAGTCTACCGACCCACAAAATGTGAAATAAACAATCCAGTCCTTTGTTTGTGGTCTGCATAAGTCTTACAACACAGAGAAAAATGCTCTGTTTCAAATGTGCTCTCCTTGTGATGTCATAGTGGGATTCTGGTAAAATAAAAAAAACCCACCTCCCCTGTTTTTTCAACCCCCAGACTAGAACAAAACTTTTGAGCCGGTCCGCCATTTTTATTCTCACAAAGGAGTGATGTCTATGGGGAAAACTCGGAGGGGGGGGGGTCATTGTATTTAAAGAGACACACACACCAAAACGGAGCGTTCTGAGAGAGCTGGTTTATACAGGGTCACAAACCTCCTCTGGTGCTTGATTCATGTTATATTTTGACCAAAGCACAGATGTTTCATTTAGACCACAGAGGACTGTTTGAAAAGGTGGAGGAGGACTGTTTGAAAAGGTGGAGGAGGACTGTTTGAAAAGGTGGAGGAGGACTGTTTGAAAAGGTGGAGGAGGACTGTTTGAAAAGGTGGAGGAGGACTGTTTGAAAAGGTGGAGGAGGGGACTGTTTGAAAAGGTGGAGGAGGACTGTTTGAAAAGGTGGAGGAGGACTGTTTGAAAAGGTGGAGGAGGGGACTGTTTGAAAAGGTTGAGGAGGACTGTTTGAAAAGGTGGAGGAGGACTGTTTGAAAAGGTGGAGGAGGACTGTTTGAAAAGGTGGAGGAGGGGACTGTTTGAAAAGGTGGAGGAGGACTGTTTGAAAAGGTGGAGGAGGGGACTGTTTGAAAAGGTGGAGGAGGGGACTGTTTGAAAAGGTGGAGGAGGGGACTGTTTGAAAAGGTGGAGGAGGGGACTGTTTGAAAAGGTGGAGGAGGACTGTTTGAAAAGGTGGAGGAGGGACTGTTTGAAAAGGTGGAGGAGGACTGTTTGAAAAGGTGGAGGAGGGGACTGTTTGAAAAGGTGGAGGAGGACTGTTTGAAAAGGTGGAGGAGGGGACTGTTGAAAAGGTGGAGGAGGGACTGTTTGAAAAGGTGGAGGAGGGGACTGTTTGAAAAGGTGGAGGAGGACTGTTTGAAAAGGTGGAGGAGGGGGACTGTTTGAAAAGGTGGAGGAGGGGACTGTTTGAAAAGGTGGAGGAGGACTGTTTGAAAAGGTGAAGGAGGAGGACTGTTTGAAAAGGTGGAGGAGGACTGTTTGAAAAGGTGGAGGAGGGGACTGTTTGAAAAGGTGAAGGAGGAGGACTGTTTGAAAAGGTGGAGGAGGACTGTTTGAAAAGGTGGAGGAGGGGACTGTTTGAAAAGGTGGAGAAGGGGTACAAGATGTCCTCTTTGATATAATAATCGTGAAACCGAGATTATTTCTCAGAGTATATTCATACCACCAAACATACCATTGTGCATCACCAACATCATGTTTTCTCTTCAGGTTTCAGTTTCCTGTTTCTGTGTTGGTGGAAATAAGCATTACAGAAAGTAAGCGGGGAAAAATAACTCCTCTGTAGTGCTTCGATTCAGGGTCTGTAGCTGTTTTATTTCTGCCTCACTTGTACTGCAGCCTCTACACCCTCTCCGCCTCCGTCTGTGCGCTCAGTGGATGGTTTGCTACCAATATCCATCATCTACCAGCCAGTATGAAACTCATGCTGGAAAAACATGAATCTGATCCAGAGTGCTTTGCTTAATTACACAAATGCATTAAAGCCATTATATGTTGGTAGCTTATTTTTGTATACGAGGAGTGACCCTGCAGTTTTGATCCGGGCAACAAAGCAAGGTGTCATTATTAGTGTTGAAGCACCTAAGATAATATGAGGGGTTGTTTATTCTGGGTTAAGTTTGATCCTGTCAATCATGCACAAGCTGCTGGTGACAGCATCCTCTTAGAAACTGTTAAAGCCTGTTAACAGCCTGTTCAAATATATTTAAATATCATACACTTAGACTAAAACACATCCAGCAGTCAGTCCAGATCCCACCTTGGCAAGATAAGTTTGTGATTTAAATCTTCAGTCGGGAAGACCCTGATTTGACTTGAATGTGTCTGGGGCATGTCTTTGTGTTGGCGCGCAAATGGACGCTACAAGCCGAATAAACGGTATAGTAGTTATTTCACCAGCAGAGGGCGCTATATGGATTATAGCAAGCATTATCACCCTCCAGAGTGTCGAGCGTTGATGCTCAGGGTTGGAAATGAGCACCAGCTACCCCCCAAATATGGCTGGTTTTTTTTGCAGTGACGGGTGATTTTTGCATATCAGTCGGGCCCCAGCTCAGTGTACAGGTGATCAATCACATGATAGATCACCATGTAGAAACGCCAAACAGCCATGCTGCACTCATTAAGATGTCATCTGAACAGATTTTCTCACAATGTTGATATCGGTCCCAAAGATCCCATATAGGTCAGGCCCAACACAGGAATTCTGCGAATTTGTGCAACGATTCATTTATAGCCATATAGTTGGAAATACATCAAAAACACCTCAGTAAACCAGGATACTAGCTCTGATACTTTGAATAACATGATTTCTAAAGAATGGACCACAGAGCAACAACTGGAATGTTTGACATTACACGTGGTCTCAGGCCTCCGACCATCTTGTCATATGTGCTCTAAAATGTTTTTGTTATGGCCTCGTCTCCTCTGAAACATGACATCAGCATTTTTAAACGAGTGCACCATCTTCGGGAAGCAGCTTTTCAGGATGAAACGCAGCAGCTCCGTGTGTGTGTGTGTGTGTGTGTGTGTGTGTGTGTGTGTGTGTGTGTGTGTGTGTGTGTGTGTGTGTGTGTGTGTGTGTGTGTGTGTGTGTGTGTGTGTGTGTGTGTGTAGGCCCTGAGAGGAGAGAAAAAGATGTTTTCCAAATTCGGCCGGCTCAGTGTGGGCGTTTTCTTGCTCATGTCCACACAATCCTGGATCCATCACTCCAATTTTAACCCACATTAAGATTTTAACTCTTAACCGTTCACCAGCGGTATAACGCCCGCTGTCAAAGCCCCTGATTACAGCATCCTAACTCATCAAATACAGTATGCCACTGTCCTATTTCCCCGCATTGATACACAGCAACTGTCCAAAAATAGCAGTAATTACATCACATTAGCTTCCTGGTTCAGCACATCCCAGCTACTGTACCCTGACTACTACACCATGTTCAGTCTTATGAGTCTGATGATCTCGTTCTGTATGACCGAAACATTTATCAAACAACCAAGATTCGCATGAAAACATTTGAAGATATTTTGCTGAGGATTAAGAGATAATAGATTTCGACGAGTGGCTGAAGGTGTCTTGTGGGTCACAGTTTTCGGTTACTAGGGATCGAACTATGTAGAAAAGAAGTGACGGTATCAAAACGTTGCCCACCAATATGTGCATTTTATGGATGCATCATGCAGAGATTCTCGATATAATATTTAACCATTCATTCCAGAATGCCACCCAAGGTGTTGAATTGTGATATTTTCAGTTTGGGTTCAACGAGCTTCCATGCGCTGAATGACTCGTTGAATTGGCTTCTGTTTGTGTGTGCCTGTGAGTCCACGCGCTGGAATGAGGAAACCCCTTCCCCCGAGTTAATATCCAATCACTGTGCGCTAAATGTGGGGGAAGCTGACAACACTGGTATGTCAGATTTCACACATTACTTTAACATGGCGAGAGGTGAGGAGAGGCAGCAGTATGAGGAAGCGCCGCCATCTTTCAAATCAGTGGTGCGGGGACGTTTAAGCG